TTATTCATCTCTAGTTTTGCTATACTGTAAATGTGAAAACTGACAATAAACTTAGTTAACTAGTTACTCTTTACTGTCTTTATCAATTTTAATTAAAATGATCATAATGCCAATTTCCAAGATGGTTATTTTTGTAAGATTATTATATTGCTATTATTATTATTACTATTGTACAAAATACAATCTCATCAAAGCAATCACATATAGAATATATATAAATATTATTATTTTAATAGTAGTATTATGCTTATTTATTATTGTTGAAATCATAATAATATTATGTATATTACTGTATTGTATTTCTGTTATTTCAAAATTATATTTTAATATTAGAATGAATTACATTGTTAGTATTGTTACATTATAATAATATTATTATTAATATTTTTATTACCACTATTGATATCATTACTGTATTATCATCATCCGTTATCATCATTCTCATTGTTGTCTATTCATTATAATCATGCTTACTATCATCGATCGTTGTAATCATCACCATCATCATCATCATATCATACTCATCCATCGTCATCATCTTCATCACGAACTTATCAATCATCTATCGTCGTTATCATCATCCTCATAATCTTCATCCTCCTCATTCTTCATCATTTTCTTCATCATCATCCACATCATCATATTCCTCCTCATCCATAATCCTCATCATCATCAATGGCGTAGCCAGCTATTGGCACAGTTGGGACAGTCCCACACCATTTTTCCAATGGGTCCACAAAAAATGGTCCACATTTTTAAAAAAGGGTCCAAATTATGTAATTTTATGCATAAAATGGATCCAGATGCCTTATATTTAGTTAAATATGGGTAAAATTTAGGAAAATGGGTCCAGATATTTCATATTTTTGCGTAAAATGTGTCCACATTGTTTGAATTTACACGTAAAGTGGGTCTGCTCTGATACTGTCCCACACCGTTTGAAAATCCTAGCCATGGCATTGATCCTCATCCATCATCGTCACCCTCATCACCATCCTCACCAATCATTGTTAACATCATCACCATCACCCTCATCCTACTAATTATTCTCATCCATCATCATCCTTATTCTCATCATCATCAACCTCATCCTTATCCTCATTCATCATCATATAGTCCTCATCATCACCATTGTCATTATCATCCTCATCATCATCCTCATTACGATCATCATCTATCATCATCATCCATCATCATCCTTGTCCTCATCATCAACGACATCATCATCATCCTTATTAATCATCATTATCAATCATCATCATCATGAGGATGATAATGAAGAGGATGAGGACGACAAGAATGAAGATGAGGATGAGGGGCAGACGGGATTTTTCTCATCATTCGTCATAATTAACCTCATCAACATCATTCTCATCAATCATCCTCATCATTATCATTATCACGATCACCCTCATCAACGACCATTATCATCAATCATAATCATCATCATCCTTATTTTCATCATCATCAAACTCATCATCCTAATCCTTCTTATTATCATCATTATCCTCACCATCCTTATCAGCATCATTTCCTTCCTCATCATCATCCATCATCAATCATCATCTACCTCATCATCTTCCTTCTCTTCATCAGCCGCATCAGCCTTATCCTCCTCATCATCATTCTTATCTTAATCACCATAATCATAATCATCATTACCATCATCCTCATTATTATCATCATTACCATCATCATTTTCATCATTATCCTCTTCATCATCAGTCATTACCATCATCATGAGGATGATGAAGATGACGACGACGAGAATGAAGGTAAGGACAAGGGTGAGGATGAGAGGGATGATTCTCATCATTCATCATCATCATTCTCATCAATAATTTTCTATCATTCTCATCACCAACATCACAATCATTATCATCAACAACCATTATCATCAATCGTAATCACCATCATCATCTTCCTCACCATCATCCTCATCATCTTTCTTCTCCGCATCATCATCAACATCCTCCTTATAATGGGGAATATAATGAGGATGTGGATGACAATAAGGAAGATGATGATGATATTTATAATAATGACATCAGTATATTAGAATAACAGTACTAACGCTAATATTAATGTGAATTATAAACTATAATTTTTTTTAAACGCATAAGAATAATGATATACTATATTAATAATATTATAAAGTAACAACATAATAGTATACTAATGATGATGAAGAAAAATGTAGTGTAGAAAGATTAAATTTAAATAGGTAAACATTTCCTTTAATTTTGATTGTCGTTGTCTTGGAATTTGGTGTGTTGACGTCATCATTCCAAATTTGCTTGGGAGGTAGGGAATTCTTGTCAGACAGGTCTAGACTCCCATCGTCCGATGCCATGACGAGGTCGCCACACCACAAATGATTTGCTTATCCATATAACATTATTTTAATTGCCAATCCCTAATATTTTGTCTTAAAAGCAAAATTTTGGGCCATACTAAGCTAAAAAAAAAACCTCTCTCATAAGCCCAGGGATGTTTATCCCGGGACTCTGACCGATAGTCGGCCCTGTGTTTGGACCCGCTTTTTCAGACTCCCTGGGTCACTAATGAACGACTATAATAG